CCATTCCTTGGCCCTTTCAGAAGCCACACTGGCCCTTAGGTAGATGACCATCTTCCAGGTGAAGAATCAATCTATTAAGGAGGAACCTGTCAAGAATCTTGCCAGCAATGACTAAGAGAGAGACTCCTTATACCCCCCTCCTGGGATTGTCACAGGATAATTTATTTCCTTTATCTTTATAGCGATGGACAATGGAGGCATCCTTGAATTCCTGGGGGCAATAACCTCCTCTTGCCATATAACCTGGAAAATTTCAGCCAGCTTTTGTATGAGCAATGGACCCTGTGCCTTGTAAATCTCAGCAGTAATAGAATTAGCACCAGGTGCTTTGCCACAGGAGAGGAGCCCAGTCAGAAATTTGCCTAGAGAGGGATTGACTTCAACCCTGAGGTAAATGGTCAGTGGCTTCAGTATTGATTGATGATGGTTTATTGAGAACACTATGGAAGTGTCCAGCCCAGCTCTCTAGGATCATGTTCGTATCATTCATCAATGTGGCTCCATCAGCAGTGACTAGCTGAGATGCACCATAGGTCTTTGGCCCGTGAATAGCCTTCAGGACATCATAAAAGTGCTTGGGATTGTTGCTATCAGCATAAAACTGAATTTCATCTGCCTTCTTACAAGGCCAAGAATCCTTCATCTCACTAAGCATTACTGGCACTACTTTTGATAAGAGTTACATGCTGCCTTCTTAGAGATGGTTGAACTGTCTTGCTGGTAAACCTTGTGGAGTTCTTGTTCTTCATTTAGCAGCTTTTGAATTTCCCCACCATATTCATCAAACCTGTCTTAATGTTTGTGAGTATTCTGAACTAGATTAGCAAATGCAGTGCTGTACACCAAATCTCTGAAAGCTGCCCACTCCTTTTCTGCTCTACTGTTGCCAACTGTGTGTTGGCTCAACTTAAGTTAGCAAGAAAGCGTTCCAAGTTTTCTGGTAGTCATTTTTCTTTGGAGTCACTGATTTTGTGGGTAATTCTATGATCAGGTCATCATTCTGCTCCACACGTTGCCTCCATCACTCTTACATCCTCTGTCTCTTCTCTTTACAATCACATAGTCTATTAAATGCCAATGTTTGCTGCTATACTTGGGATAGACACCCCTCAACTCATGGACAGGTTTGAGACCCCTCCGTTAACCCTCAGCCTTGTTTAGCCTATCAGCTGAAAAATGGTTTATCAGGGTGTAGCTGCTGCGCCTACTTCAGCTTCCTGGAGCCACAGGTGAGAGTTAGGTGGATCATGTAGACACCAAAGGTGGAAAGCAGCCCTGAAAACATGGTGGAGGGTGTGTTCAGGGAAGACTGGTTCCTCTGGTGTGAGGTCTGCTGAGCCCTTTTTAAGGCTGGTTTTTAAAAAATCCATGAACTCTGTTGTAGAATATATATCTGGCTTGGGGAAAAAATAAGATGGTTTTTTACTTTCTTGGCTATTTTTACATTGATAAATTAATTGATAAAAATTTCCATTATCTTAAATGTTAGAAAAGAGGGAAATTATGCTTCGTATTGGAGTGTGTGTGTGTGTGTGTGTGTGTGTGTGTGTGTGTATGTGTATGTGCATTTGTGCAAATATCAACAACTTCTCATTCAGTCACTTTTTGGTTGTGCCAGACTCTTGACTTCATTTCGAGGTTTTCTTGGCAAAGATGCTGGAGTGGTGTGCCATTTCCTTCTCCAGCTCATTTTACAGATGAGGAAACTGAAGCAAACAGGGTTAAGTGACTTGTCCAGGGTCACACAGCTAATAAGTGTCTGAAGCTGGATTTGAACTCGAATCTTTTTTACTCCAGGCCTAGCATTCTAGTCATTGAGCCCAGTCCACTTCACAGGCTCACAAACCTAGAGCTGCAAAGGACCTCACAGATCATCTAGTTAAACCCGCTCATTTTACAGATGAAGAAACTGAGGCCCAGAGAAATTAAGGAAGTTACCCAAGTTCATGCAGTTAATAAGTTGTAGAAGTAGGATTTGAACCTATGTCCTCAGACTCTAGATATATTGATCTTTTCCACAGTGAAAAAAAGGTAAGACTGTGAAAAAGTTCAATTTAAAACCTTTGTAAAGAAAGTTGATAGTTGCTATGTAAGATAATTCATCTTTTCTACATTTTTTTAATATTTAGATATAAACATTAATGGAGTAGATTATTTCAGAATATTTTTAAACAACAGGAACTGTGTTCTTGACTCTTTATTCAAAACATTTTTGACCTTTGATTTAAAAAAGCTGTTGGCATTTAGTAAAAGTTGTTAATAATAATTAATGATAGCTCATAACATTATATGGTGCCTTAAGGTTTACAAAGCTCTTTATATGCATTATCTAATTATAGTGGAGAAGACAGAGTAGTGCAAAGTAACTTCATAGTTAATTCAATTCAACAAATAATTAGTAGGTGCCTAATATGGGCTGTGCTAGGCTCAGAACTTGGAGAAAAATATGAAGGAGTACCTGCCTTCCAGAAACATAAATTTTACATACAACATATGCACCGCTAAATAAATTCAAGTTTATATAAATTTATTTATCTATTGAACTCAAAATTAATTTGATGAAGGAGAGAGAACTGATTCCAGGCATTTTTTTCTGGCTGTCTACTATGCCTGGAACACTCTCCCTTCTCTGCTCTTACTAGTGACTTTCCGGACTTCCTTAAAGTCCCAACTAAAATCCCACCTTCCACAGGAAGCCTTCCCCAACCCCTCTTAATTCCAGTGCTTTCCCTCTTGTAATCATTACCTGTTTATTCTGTCTACAATTTACTTTGTGTATATTTTTTTGCATGTTGTCTCCCCTGTGAGATTGTAAGCTCCTTGAGGGCAGGGGCTGTTTTTTGCCTCTTTTTGTATCCTCAGAGCTTGGCACAGTGCTGGCACATCTATTGTTTTTGTTCAGTTGTTTTGTTGTGTCCAAGTCTTTGTGATTCCCTGGACCACTTTCCATGAGGTTTTCTTGGCAACTATCCTGGAGTAGTTTGCCATTTCCTTCTTTAGTAGATTACCTTTTGTCAGAACTCTCCACTATGATTTGCCTGTCCTGGGTAAGCCAGCACGGCATATTGCTCATGGTTCATTGATATGCACACGACCATCCTGCCACAACAAGGCAGTGGTCCAGGAGGGGCTTGGCATACAGTAAGTGCTTAATAAATGGTCTATTTAATCAGATTGGATACAGCGAAGGTTTAATGGAGGAAAGTGGTACCTGAGCTGAGCCTTGAAGGAATCTAGGGATTCTAAGAAGCAGAGATGAGAAGGGCATCTCTCTTACCACGCATGGGGGAGATGGCCTATAGAATAACAAAGAGGAAAAAGCTGCCCCACCTCCTGATAGAGAGGTGATGGACTCAGGGCGCAGGTTGAGATATTTACATGAACACTACTCACACACATATGTACATGTGTATATGTATATATATATGTATGTGTGTGTGTGTGTGTATGGAGAGAGACAGAAAGCGTGCCAATGAAGGAATTTGTTTTGCCTGTATGTGTTTATAATAGGATTTTATTTTTCTCACTTTCTCAGGAAGGAGAAAAGGCAGTTTTTTATTCACTGAAAAAAAAAATTTAAAAACAGAATGGCAGAAGGGCAGGAAATGGAATTAGGAGTTTGGGAAATAACTAGTAAGTCAGTTTGAGTGGAATCTAGAGTACATGAAGTGGAATAATATGAAGAGTCTGGAAAGATTTAGTGGGAGGCAGATTGTAGAGAACGCAAATGTTGTACAGAGGAATGAAAAGTTTCTCCTTCCCAGAGAGTAAGAGAGAACCACTGCCAGTTTTTTGACTAGGGGAGTGATATAATTGTATCTGTGCTTTTGGCAGCTTTTTAGGGGATGGATTGGAGAACAGGGAGACTAGAAACCATTTCAGAGGTCATTATGCTGGTGTAGGTGCAAGGTGAGGAGAACCTGAACCAGAGAAAAATGGAGGGATTCATGAGATATTGGGGGGTCAGTAGGGTGGAAGTACTCATGATTCCAAGGTTAGGAACCCAGGTGACTGGAAGGATGGTGGTATTTTCAATAGAAATAGGGAAGGTTGGTTTGGAGGAGAATGTCAAGATTTTTATTAAACATATTGAGATATAAAGTGAAATAAATGGAGTGATTGGAGGGGGGTGGAGGTAGGGTGTTAGAGTATCATCGTGTGCAATCAGACAACTAGAGTTCAAATCCTAGCTGTTTCTTTTTATCTATGTGTCATTTGTAGGCAAGTCATTTTATAACCTAAGTTTCTCCATCTGTAAAAACAGGAGGTATTAGACAATAGATGATCTCTAAATTTTCTCTCTAAATCCTATGAATCTTGGTTGGACCCAGTCAGAATAAATAAAAATATTTTAATATATTTTTATTATTTCAAGAATATAGACTATATATGTATATATAGACACATATATATATGTGTGTGTGTGTATAGACATATATATGTGTATATGTATACACACACACATATGAAAATATACCTTTTGGTCAGGTAAGAATAAAATGAAGAGGAGACAGGAATTCTTTTCAAGGAATAAATGGTTAATTGTAATTAGAATTAATCTGAAAATAAGCAGTGTGCCAGATCAGTGGTGTTTAAAACTCCAGTAGAAATGGGGTGTCCCAACCTTATGTAAAAGCAACTTCATGTTGACATAGAAAAACCACGTATTAACATTACCTATGTTTTATTTTATTTTTTATTTATTTTGTTAAATATTTCCCAATGACATTTCAGTCTGGTTTGGGCAACACTCAGGAGTTTAATACCTCTGTTCCAAAGTAAGATGTGTTTTCAAGTAGACCAAATATACAATCTTAACTGATAATTTGCGAAGCTAATTTTTTCTCCGTAACACAAAGGGGATAAATTTCAGACCTGCTCAAGTTTCAAATTATCAAAATCTGAATTAAACTAAGTTCTAGTTAGTGAGATTTTACTATAAAATATAGAACTGAATGAATATTAGTTCTGTGCATCTGACATAAAACACTCTTTTCCAGGAGAATCTGTGGAAGGTCTTCGAGAGAATGATTGTCTTCTGATTCATTCTTGCCGGCAGTGGACGACCATCACTGCTCATAGCTTGGAGGAAGGTCACTATGTCATTGGGCCAAAGATAGAAATCCCAGTACATTATGCAGGTATGACGCTTTCTTCTTCTATGAAAATAATTAGGGGTGAGAAATGAATACTTAATTTTTTTCTTCCACAGTGAGAGAAGGGAGGAGGATCTGTGAGAACCCTTCCTTTGAGATGCCTTTTGACCATTGGAGGATTACAATCAACACTTTTGATGGAGTTAGTTTTTTTTATTTCAAGCCTCCAACCTCCAAGTGAGGCATGTATGTAGCTAATTTGGGAGTTTATCAGGTATTGTAAATGAAAATGTTGAAAGCATGGTCAGTTTTCTTGGTTTCTATGTTCTTGAAAATAATACAGGAAGCAGTTCATTTTGATGGAAAGATCATTCTGCTAGTTGTCAGGAGACCTGATTCTGATCTGATTCTGATCTTAGCTCTTCCACTAGCTCTTTGAGCAAGTCACTGAATCTCTACTCCTCTCCCTGCTAAAGGAAGGAGACAAAGAAACAAATATCTATTAAGTGCCTACTTACGTACCAGGCAAAGTGTTAAGCACTTTACAATTATTATCCCATTGGAACTTCTGTACAAGTTCAGGAAGGTGTTGTATACCCATTTTACAGTTAAGGAAACTGAGGCAGAAAGCGGTTAAGAGATTTTCCTAGGGTCATGTGGCTAGTAAGTGTCTGAAGTTGAGTTTGAACTCAGGTCTTCCTAACTCTGGGCCCAGTGCTCTATACAGTGTGCCCAGTAGCTTCAGGGAATTGAACTTTATGAACTCTTGAGTTCTCTTCCACATCTACATCTAATTCTTAGATTCTAATATTTAGTGAGTAAAAATTGCCCTCATAATTAACTATTGCTTCTGGCTTTAAATTTTTCTGTTTCTACAGTTTTCAGTTGTTTTTCAGTCATTTCTGACTCTTTGTGACTCCATTTGGGGTTTTCTTAGCAAAAGTATTAGAGTAGTTTGGCATTTTCTTCTTCAATTTATTTTACAGATGAGGAAACTGAGGCAAACAAGGTTAAGTGACTTGCCTAGGGTCATATGGTTAGTAAACATCTGAGGCCAGATTAGAACTCAGAAAGATGAGTCTTCCTGATTCCACGCCTAATGCTCTATCACTGTCTATTTCTACATTAAAATCCATCAAATGAGCATTTTGGTTTAGTGGAAAGAAAACTGAATTTGGAGTCAATAACTCTTACCTCTCTTCTCCCTTTGGATACTTTTTAAAAACAACTATAAAATATTTAATTTAAAAACACTGACACGGGAACATATGAAATAACTATTATCAGCTAGTATAAATGCTTATGGTGAATTATTTAGCTGCCAGGTTTGTTTTTTTTTTGAAAATTGTACTTATATAGTTATCTGTGGGCAGCTAGGTGGCACAGTGGATAAAGTGCCAGGCCTGGAGTCAGGAAGACCTGAGTTCAAATCCAGCCTTAGATGCCTCATAGTTGTGTGGCCTAGGGCAAGTCACTTAATCCTGTTTGCCTCTGTTTCCTCACCTGTAAAAACTGGAAAAGGAAATGGCAAACCACTGCAGTATCTTTGCTAAGAAAACCCCAAATGAGGTCACGAGGAGTTGGATATCACTGAAATGACTGAACCAAACAATGTTATCTATCATCCTCTGATGTATAGTCAGGCTTTATAGCCTCAGTTGCTAAACACTTGGATCAAGTCATAACCAATTTTGTTGTAAAACAATCTCTGCACATTTATGTAAATTCTAGCATCTTATAATTTTAGTTATCCAATAAATCACAACGATACAGAAACATGCATCATGAGAAACAGGAAATATACCTCATCCATTCTTCATGATAGCAACTCGTCATGCTAAAGTAACAATGCTTACCCACAGCATTGAGGTCTGTGAACAGTCACTTTTCTACTTCATTCTGAGTGAAGTTGAAATGTGTAAGTACAAATGTAACATCTTATAAACAATTGCTTATAAAAAATGTCACAAATTAAAACCAATTTACATACCACAACAACATTACCTTCACTCAAGCCCCATCTCTACATTTCTTGTTCACCAATTAGACGTCTCTGGACATAATTGTGACTCTCTTGGCATGATGGCACACGTTGCTTTGTACTGGTCATCTTGTTTTACTGAACAATAGGACAATAATACTCCTGTTCTACACAATGACCAAACCGCTTTGTGCTCCTCCCACTGGACTCTGTGTCCTAGTACATCTCTGAGAAATCCTAGCTAGGAGGGATGTTCTGTTTGTAAAATAGTCATAATACTTGTTTTATTCTCATCTCATTTTAAATTTTTTGTAGCATTTTATTCAGAAAATTTGGATTTGGAGTTAAAGGACCTGGGTTCAAACCTCAATTTTGCCATTCGTCCCCTCAGTTGATATCTCTGAGACTTAGTTACCTCTTCTGTAAGATTAGGGGACTTGGGTTAGTTGATTTTTTGGGGTCTCTTCTTGTTCTCAATTTGTGATTATCTGATCTTCTGAAACTTGTTCTCAGATATGTCAATACTGGTCACAGCCCCGTCCACCCCCTAACCATCTCACTTAGGCAAAATCTGAATGTTGGTTGTGCTTACACTCTTAGTAATAACATACTCATGAAAGTGACAAAGATAAAAAAGCAATAAAATTATAATTAAAACTCTTTATTTGGAGGTAAACAAAGGTTTAAAAAACCCTTTTGTATTCAATATTTTAATGTCTGCCTGTACTTAGATATTTTCCTTTCAAAGATTTCATTTTAGAAGTATAATATACATCCAAGGGTAGCCTATAATCAAGTGACCATGAGAATTATTGTTTTTGTTGTTGTTGTTGCTTACTTTTTTCCTTACTAAACATCTCTGGATTTATAAAATCCAATTTTCTGTTTTATTTTCCAAGGGAAAAAAAATCCAATCTTAAACAATTTGTAACTGATTATTCCACAGTAGAGCATGCCATTAACACTCTATGTGTTAATGCTGTACTGTATGTGTAGCCTGTAACTGTACCTGTGTCCATCATCTGCCTCCTTCCTCCACCTATTCGTTGTGCGTTGAGATAGGTCTACTTGCCCCTTAGCTGGTCCTGGATCACTCTGAGTCTCACACTTCCCTTTTCAGAGCATCATCTGCCCAGGAAGAAATAAGCAGATTTTTAGGTCTCCTAGCTTAGAACTTGCTTCTCAGGCATATTGTTCCCAGGCTCAGGAGGCGGCTGCAAAAATCAGTAGAGAAAATGAGACCACAGGAAGTGCCTTGGCTACAGGTTTGGGCGCCTACTGAAACTGGCACATCCATCTTACCAGTAGCCGTAAATGAGGCATAGTCATTAACTCCGACTGTTCTCCCTTTCAAGATAGTGTTTGAGGCTATGGAGGAAATGCATGCTGTTTTTCAAAGGTCTCCAAGTTCCTGTGGTTTTCTCTCGTATGGGAAAACCTGAGAGGAGAAGGATTATTTTGGCTAAAAACACATAACTCCTCCAAGAATTGGTGTTAACGTTTTTTGATTACTATAATTGCTCAGGTTCCAGAAAGTAGCAGGAAACACCCTATAGTAAGTAGTCTTCTCCCACCCCAATGCATCTAGCATGTAACACTACCAATTTGTTTCTTAAACACCACTTTCATCCCATCACACTCTTGCTCAGATACCTCAAGTTCCTTCAGTTTCCTTGACTTGACACGGCCCCATCCTACCTCTGCATCCCACCTGGTCTCTCCACCCCCCCACCACTACCTTGCATTCTTCTCTAGCTAAAATTTAACTTAGTTCAGCAAACATTTATTAAGTGATTATTACCTGGGAGGCATTGTGCTAAGAACAGAAGATACAAAGACAAAAACTGAAATATTCCTGGACCCCAAATAACTTATCTTCTTTAGGGGTCTCAAAGAGACATAGAATCAGAGATTTAAAGGTAAAAGGGACCTTAGAGTCCATTTAGGACAACCCTCTCATTTTCCAGATGAGAAAACTGAATCTCAGAAAGGTTAATGAGTTGTCTAAGGTGATACAGTCAGTAAGTGGCCAAGGTGGAATTTGAATTTGGTTCTTGTAATGCCTTTGTTCTTTCTACCATGTCATGAGAAATCATTATTATTTTTAAAAATTATATCTGTTTTATTCTGAACTTAAGAAATAAAAAAAGCATCTCTATAATACAGCAGAATCGAAAAAAAAAGATGATTGTATGTGAAACTGCAAATCTATTATGTACAACTTGCTATTTCTTTTAAATATATAATAAAGTTCTCATGTAACTTTTTTGGATGCAGTTAGACATTATCATGGGATAATATTTGCAAGGCCCAAAGTGCAGAGGGCTGCCACATAGTAGGTGCTATATAAATACTTATTCCTTTCTTCCTTCCCCCATACCATGGCAATAAGAAGATTAAGCATAGGGAGGGAGGGGGAGAAAATTTAAAACTCAAAAGTTTATGGAAGTGATTGTTGAAAACTGAAAATAAATAAATTTTTTTAAAAAAAGAGATTCAGCATATAACACAAAGTGATTTTAAGAAAGAAGAATGATTACAACTTGGTGGGGAGGGGTGGAATTCAGAAGAGGCCTCATATAGAAAAGGCATTTCAGCTGAGCGTTGAGGGAAGGTATGGATTTTAAGATGTGGAGGTAAAAAAGAAGCACATTCTCACTATGGGGGACCACCTGTGTAGCTGAACAAAGGCATAAGGATGGGATGAATCATCATATTCAGAGAACACTGCAGTTTGCTTGAAATAGGGTGTATGTAAAAGGGAATAAGTGAAATAAGACTGGAGTGATAGATGGCAACTTTGTTGTGGAGGGCTTCAAGCACCCTCCACGAGGGCATTCAGTGACCGCAGATCATGCTGGGCATGTTTCTGTCTCTGTATGTGCTTATGTCATTCACCCTGCCTCAAATAGATACTCTTCCTCTTTCCCCTCAGCTTATTACCCTCACCACCAAGTCAAGTCTCACATCCTCTGTGCAAAGTCTTTCTTAAATCCGGTTTTTGCCTCCTCATGGCACCTTAGCCTTTATTATCCATACTATTTAGCTGACATTTTTGTAGTAT